ACTAAACTAATAAACAAAAAATGGCTGTTTCTTGGTGATGCATGTCCAGAAAAAAAGAAACAAGATTGAAGTCTTAAACTAGACTGTGAGCGTGTGTGTTTAGGTGCCAAGCACAAAAAGTGCCTTCAAGAATAAAAAAGAAAACAGTAGAAAAAAATCCCTATAATCTGTAGAGGAAATAAATCAAAGAAAAAGTTTAAAGGAGGCCTACAGGAGCCTTCCAAATATGATGGCATGCAACACCAAGAAAGAACCAAACAATCTGTGCAAATAAAATTACAATAAATCAATAATTAATGTTCATCAACAGTCTGCATTATGAAAGTAATATTACTAACGCTGTGATCATTTTTATGAGGCTCGGCAAAAAGGTTTGTTTATATACTTACGTGAAAGCATCATGACGCTGTTTGTAAATTAAAACAAATTAACAGGAAAACAAAAGAAAAAGCAATATAACTAAAGTTAAAAATGCAGACTCTTGACCTTACATGTACTCTTTCTTAAAATGAAATATTACCATTAGCCAGGAATAACTGAATCAAAAATTGAGAAATTGAAATGGAATGAAAAATTAATGAGACTTTGGAATACCAAAATAGCCCAATTCTAAAAAAAAATCCAAAGTAACAAAAACTGGTTAGTTCTTCAGTGCAATTGCCACTCAAACTTCTCTGCAATCAAATAGTGTCATATTTTGTGGCTTAAGGCATATAACGTTAATTTTGTAAATTAATGAACATTTTGGTAAGTCTTGAAAGTAATAAATTCAGTCAAGAAGGTAAATATGGTGGAGTGGACACAATAAGACTGTCATCGCTCTTAGCTAGTCGTTGCAAGTTTTGTTGCACTTGGAAGTAAGTACTAATTTTTTCCTTGTATAATTTCAGTTTGGGCTAATGAGCTTGCAGATCTACTTAATATGTACAGAGTGAATTAACATAATATAAACAAAGGAAGCATTAATAATAATGGTACAACTATAGTGTTGAAAAACTAGGAAAAATTGCTAACATTGCCATAACAAAGCTGCTAAATTTTGTGGTAGCCTCATAGTAAATAGATGTCATTTCCACTTCCAGTCGTTACGACAACTGAACATGTAATGCAAAATGCAAACTGTGTACCCACGCCAAGTTTTGGAGATAAAATAATTCTTATCCAAATTGATATAAATTGAAAATGAAAAACATTTGTTCTGAATTTCTTGAGATTATTATATTTATAATATTAAATGCTTCCCTTGTTTATGAATTAAACAGCCACCATCAAGTTGCCAGGCATTTAATTATTCAAAAACGAAATTATTTTTGAATCACTGCCTGCCTATTCGAAAGCAACGAGTCAACGTCTTAAAACTAAGTACAAATTTAACAAACCATATTAAAAACAAACATTATTTTAAGATTTATGAAAGCTACAGTAGGTAATAAGTTTGCATGGCAGCATGATGTTGATTGTTGTTAGAGTTCATTAGTTAAATATTGATTCTAATGAAATGCACTTAAATGACAAGTAATTATTTAGCAAGTTTCCCTTTGAGCACTGAAGAATTTGCTGACTAAATACTAAGAGTTTTCCCAATCATTGATAGTAATTTATCTTAGCTTGTAATGAAACAAACTTCATGGCAAAAGCAGAATGGAGAAAAACTGGGTGTCCTGAGCATGTGCTGACTGTGCTTAGGCCCTCGACCCTCAAAATTTCAGTTACACTAAGAATGAAACCTTAGTCTGCGCTCAAAAGATAAACGTTGCTTACATGTAGCAGTTATCATTAACCAGGCTAATCCTGTTTGTTTTCCCGACTTTGTTCAGCATAAATGAGCAAATTTTGAAATTTGACTTACATATTTTTCTTTAAGTGTAATTTTGTTCAATGCAAAGCCTCTAAGGAAATAATTTATTGTACGTCATACGTGTTCTAGTGTTTTGTACATAGTATGAATTTTGGAATTGAAGAAATAGATTCTTGCAATTTAGTTGAACATTATCTGTTTTTGTAAATCTTTGTTTAATCCTTTAAACCCCAGAAATGATCAGCAATTAGTTTCTCCTCACAGATTGAACCAGACATAATGAGAATTGACCAAATGATAAGGTGTCACAAGAAAATTTGTCTTAGTTTGTTTCTAAAAAATAATTATCAAGCAGTAACTATTGGAAAGATGTGGAGACAAGGTAAGAGAATTTCTATGCTGATATTATGGCTTTTAGATTGATATGCGCTATACTGATTTGTTTCTTAAACGATTAATTTTTGAAATTGTTTTGCAACTTTTGGTCCACTTTTCTAAACAATTTTAATATTCTTGAGACTTTGTCTGAGAGAAACTGTACTTCATACATTGCAGTAAAGGATGGGAAAAAAACTGCTCAAGGGAATCTTATGCTAGAACCTTCAACCCTAACTCAAATGGAACAAACAAGTGCAAGAGTAAAATTTACCGTTCAATGGATTTAAATCAGCCAGATGGAATGGGTTTCACGATTAACTGGTTCATTGATTGGATTCAGAGATCTTTGCCACAGCTTGTAGTTCTCTCAATAATATGCATCCAAAAAAATTAATAAAATTGCTCATGAAAAAGATGGTGGCTGGTCAATGTAAAGTGGGTCATTGTCTGTCCTACAGTGTATTCCCTCGGGATGCAAATTGCGGTATTTGACTACTTCCTGCTAGCCCTCATTGCCGGATGAAGACTATGTGGACTAGCAGTAAGAGTAAAAGCGCTGCGATCTACATCCTAAGGGACCACATCATGAAACAAACAACGTCTTGAATAATTTATTTCAAATCAATTTTATCTAATATAAAGCAACCTGGAGTGAAAACTACATACAGTAACAGAGATCTCTGCTTTCAATCAATGACCCAATTAATCTCATGCAGAGACAGCTAGGGTGGTTTTGGTTCAAGGAAAGGCACTTTTCTGATAAATGGTGGCACACACATCTACATATAATAATAAAATTATCTGACTCAATGCTAATCTTTGCATTGGTATGTGGCTTGTGCAGTTTCGGTAGTCTGTCAAGTTTCGGTGATCATGGTTAAGTCAGAATATTAGTCCGTAGTATTCTGACGCACATTTAAGGTTTGTTGAGGTCACAATAAGTCAATTTTCACGTGTAAGTAGTTGTAAGTGTCAGATGTTGCATGCATGTATAGTCTCAATCCATCTTCATTGCATAACGTTTGTCAAATTTGTGTTGATTTTGTCTACAGCTAATTAAATGTTTGTTAGTTGGTTTGTTGAGGTTGAGAATACGTCATGAATCTTGTAGGGTGTAAAGATGTCAGCGTCATATGTTGTGTAGTTTTAATCCATCTATTGTTAGACAGTCAAGTTTGTGTTGGTTCTGTTAGAAGTCAATTAAAAGTTTGTTGGTTGCTTTGTTGAGGTCATGAATACATCATCTGTAAGGTGTATGTAATTGTTGGTTTGAGATCTCAGTTTCAATCCATCTATTGCAGTTAGTAAAGTTTGTGTTGGTTCTGTTTGAAGTTCAAGTTTGTTGGTTTGTTTGTTGAAATCAT